AGTTTAATAGCAGTTAAATGCTTTTTTAGATATGAGCCAACAGGACTGTAATTTAACTTCGTCCCCCTCCTCCGTGTTCAAATGGTTAAACACATATTATGCTGTTCATCGACATGTTGGTAATTTAGGTTGTTCATCAAGTTGTGTTGTTTTCTATGCGTTCTTTGGGACTAATAAAAACTTCATAGTTCAGTTCATTTTGTACAACATTGAACCATGCACTTTTGTGTGCTGGTTTTGGGTGCTGTATTTTAACTGCCCACTTGGATGATGCAGTGGGAGAAAGACAGGAAAGTTAATAGTAAAGTGGAAGAGAAAATGGAGAATTTCATTAGACTGATATTGCAAAGAAATTAAGAAGATACACGAACACCCATGGTTAAGATACTCAGCGATACCACAACCAGGGAACCTAACGGGACCTATCTGATTGAGTCTCTCGATTACGTAAGGAATGAATCAATTCCGAGGGGGGAACCCTAATTCTCAACACATTAGTACGAGAATCAGTGCCGTGCACTTGTGAAAGAGTTAACATTCTGGAACTAAACTAACAACCAAGAAGAAGTAAAGGTTAGTCAAAATGGATTTTCCGGAGCCTCCAGATTTAAAGTTGGAATCATTTAGTACCGGGGATAAGGAGAGAGCCAATCCAAATACATCTATCCTCACTTTACCTTTCTAGTTGCTTCCAGGTTGAGTTATTTTCGGAGCAGAGGTTTTTCATTCATCAATCTATTCATCATCCTACTCTTTGGTTGTATTCCATAGATTTAGTTTTCGATTAGGCTACAAGTAGTACATTGTTCAAAGAGTCTGGTTCTCGTTCAAGATAATCTGTTCACCAATCTCGGTGCTATGAGGACAATAAGAAAACGGAAAACTATGCCACTATCCATAACATTTGGCAATTCCCAGCTTTCTTTCACCGATCATCCCTCATACCTTATCTCATAGATCAGTCATTAGCATTCGCGTGGACTACTCGTTTATCAGGAATACCTTATAAAACTGAACTATAAATATCATGTCTTCGACTTTTCTTCAGATTCTAACACCTGTTTACCTTTTAATGTGATCTGGTCTGTTTATAATCATGTATTTTGGTCAATTAGTCTGTCTAGAGTGTCCGGTGCACTAGTGTATTGTGTTTTAAAGATGGAATTCAATGGACTGATGGTATCAGTCAATCATATTCATCAGGGGAACACACATTTAAGTCCGAATATCTGCCAGTTAACTTTGCTGCTTCCTAGTCTGTCTCTGTTTGATCCCTCACTGCCCTCAATGGGAAACTTAATACTACCGCTAAATGCTAAATAACTGAAAAAGGGTCTGAGGATGTTTTCATCAGACATCGTGAAGAAGTGTGTCTGTCTAATTTCGGACTGTGTCATTTATTTAAATCTTGAAACTTTCAGTAACCCCGGTGGGATTCGAGCCCACACACGGACGCCGCCTACCCTTATCACTTGTGTCTCTCTATTGCGGTTCTCGTAATGCATATTTCCTCTACTTATGTTCATTCAGTTTCAATCTTTTCAATTCGCACTTACTTGGTAAGCTTTGCAAACATTTTAGCTATTAAAAACGGTCTGATTTCCTGTGATAACAATCTGTCAGGCAACAGTGTTTTCATCAAAATTACTTACACTGCTGCTGCTGCTGCTGCTGCTGCTGCTGCTGCTGCTGCTGCTCATTTTCCTCATTTAGGAGCATCTATCTACTGTTTTGAACCGCACTTGCTTCGAAACCGGTACAAATGTAAACAAACTATCAAATTATTGCCACGAGTGGTTTAGAGCGTCGGAACACATTGATCGCCTGATCACCAGAAGGCGTAAGAATGGTGGCCTAAATAAATGACAAATAATGGGAGATTTTAACTTTGCGAACAGTACTACCGTGGTTCAAACTGTCTTAGATTCTCCCTCTGTCAGCCCCCCCTCTGGATTAGGCTGTGATCGAACACCTACGTGAAAATAACCTTGATTCGTTTCACTCGTTTTATCTCAAAATCGGAATTTCTGTGTTGGATACTGCATGATGCAGATAAATCAAATCAAATCTAATCAAATTCACCTGGCCTAATAATCGCATGTACTAATCAATATTTGCGTGCAACTGTAGTCATTTCATAACGTATTCCTCTTCATGCACTATTTTTGAGGTCATTTTGCAATGTGTGTCAGGACAATTATCGGTTGATTGATCGCTCACACACCATCGACCGATCGCTACGCTGAGGATTAGAGTGGATGGGTTGGGGGAGGGTCTATATAAATAAATAAAATAAACAGCCGAGACAAAAAGAACCGAGAGCAATGGTTGTATGCGTTTTTTGGCGTACAAGATCACGAGCACAAACGAACAGTGCACAACCAGCCTCCAGACTTAGAGATTTAGAGATGCTGTCTATTTGAAGGAATGGCCTTTATTCTGCACAAAATGATAGTCGATTGTTTGAGAAAACAAAGTGTAGGTACAGATGTGTCTATATTCAAATCTCTGTTCGATGAAGAGTATTCTTTTCAGAGGATCGCTAGATTGGGAAATGTTTAATAGGCGGGGGGGGGGGTGACAGCTGCTCATTGATGGATCTGGCATATGCAGCGTGTGCATGGCCTTTCGTTTTTTTATACACTAGGTCAGAAAGAACCGCTGGACGGCAGATTCACATTCTTCACTTGAAAA